CTCCCATCACCCACTCTTCAGTCGCGAACATGTCCTGGGAGCCCGTCTAGCTCAGCTGTATGATCAGTACCTCACCAGGCAGCACAATAACCTGACAGGACACTTGACTGACAAGGTAAACTCCACAAGCTGCCTGTAAATAGCATAGTAACATCACAATTATTATAAAATGTCTTTACATTCTTTAGTATATAACTTAAATATATAAATGTGTGTGTGTGTTTTGTGTTTTCTGTCTGCTGCAGTTGAATGGGTTGAGGAGTGCCCTGCGAAATATCCTTGAGATCCATGATGGCCAGAGCCTCACTCAGGCCATGCAGCAGAGGATATCTGATTACAGTCTGGAGGTTCGGTGAGTTTCCCAGATCTTGTCTCTCCCATCCACGTCCTGTCCAGCCTTGCAACATGTACCTCTACACTGCTTTAATCACTGTGACTATCAATATTCCTGCTGCATGTTTGTCCCTCTTAATACCGTAGAAATACTCGGCAGCTGCGAGACAGCGAGCAGGAGAAAGACCGGACTCTGCTGAAGAKCGTAATTAAGGTGTGGAAGGAGATTAAGGCCCTGAGAGAGTTCCAGAAGTTCATCAACACACCCTACAAGCTCTTCCTCAGAAAGTAATGCTCTCTCATTTTTACTATAATACATATAATGTATATTTTATCTTGTTAACCACAGATTCTTTTAATCCTGTGACTAATGTGCTGTGTTTTCCACATCTGCTCCAGAGAGAATGTAGACCAGGCGTCAGATGAGCAGGTGTATGAGGATGAAATCCTGGCAGAAGTTGTGGAATTGGAGGCTGAGAATGAGGAGGACTACCAACGAAAGCTGGCCGAGTACAGGAAACAGCTGGCAGAGTGGAAGCTCTCAAGAAGAAAACAGGTGCCTAACTACTCAATATTTATTTGCTTGGATTAGTTAGTGATATCTGAACATATTGTACGCTACTGTACAAATAAACTATGGTTATTAATATCTTAAGCTTATAGAAACAAAATCTGATTTGACCTTGTTGACTGTGTAAATATGGAGATTTATTAATTCCAACACTTATATCTCATTGTTTGCAGAAAGCCAAAAAGAAAAAGAGAAAAAAGAAGAAGAAAGGCCAGTTACAGGATGACACAGAAGAAGATGAAGTCCATGAGTTGAGTGAATCCGAAGGGCCTGAAGAAGAAGAGTGTCCAAAGCCAGAGCCTCCGGAGAGGCCAGACTTTGACTCAATAGAGCAGCAAGTCAGAGAGAAGGCTTCCAGGATACGCAGGAAACCAGGAGAGTCCGTCCTGATTCCTGAGCTGCATGCATCTGGAAACATCACAGCCAATGACCTCTGCCCCAGGTAAGAGCACAATCATGCAGAAAGTCGGGGTTTCTTACAAAAGATGTTAACTTAGATTCACCTTTTTAGAAAAGTTTTGAGTAAACAAGTCAAAGGATGTGAGCATTATTTGTTTTACTTTGTTGCTTCCCCCGGAAAAGACCGGCCGATGTGATTAGCAGTGTGATGCATTTAAGGTTGTTTGGAAGTTTTTTCTTATTTATAACTATACTAAGCATGTGATAGCAGTACAAAAGTATGGCCCTATGAACACACTATGCACAAATATTTCTTGATGTTTGTTATCATAAATAGTTCTATAGTTCTAAAAGTGCAGTTGTCTTGTTTTGAAAAAGGTATAACACTATATCTTATTTCCTTTCTGGGATGTTGAACACACAGATTCCAACAAATTTCCAGTCAGCGTTTTGTTCAGGCTTCACTAATGAAGTCACTTGGTTAGGCAGGAAACTGTGAGCCAAGCAAGTGAGTTCCAATGATAAGCAGAGCCAGGCAAGCAGACCAAGGTGAGAGGGAGAGATGGCTGGAGCGGATGAGGGTGAGGCAGGCTGCTGGGTTTGAGAGCTGGACGAGGGAAGTGGTGAGTCTGAGCTGGGTATTAATGGCAGGCCTAATCTTTGAGTGGCAGCTGGCAACCTGACTCCTGCACACTGTGACGCCTAAGCACTGACCTCTAGGGCCCTATTTAATCTGTGTTATGCTGTTTTAAATGTGCGATTCTCACCCAGTTATGTTATCATGTTACTGGCTGCGACAGGCCCCCATCAAAAAAGACATTTGGCCACCAGCCCCGATCAAAGGTTACTTGCCAACAGAACAACTTTTCTGGGAGGACATATTACTAATTTCTTGGTGTCTGTCACAAGATAAACTTTATGTGTACTTGAAAATAGTGAAATTATCTCACTCCATGGCAGATATCTCACTAGTGTTTTTACAAAAGTATGATGATAGCATTTGAAGATGGACTGCGCCTTCACTGTGGATGCTTCTGTTTTCTCTTTTGTTGTAGGGCTGAAGTAGCTCGAAGAGAAGATGTTGCAAGACGCTCTCTTTTCATCAAGATCCTGTACAATGGCAAAGAAGTTTCCCGAACTGACAGCCGCTCCCTGAACACTGATTTCAGAGTGCACTTTGGTCAGATTTTCAATCTCAAGATAGTCAATTGTCCTCAAAGCATCAATTTGCAGGTACAGTACAGAATACTTAAAGGTTCAGTGTGTAAAATTTAGGTGAAAGGGATTTTTGGCAGAAAGTGAATATGAAATAATCCTAGTGATGTTTTCACTGGTGTGTTTCATCTAAATTCTATGAATTGTTGTTTTCTTTACCATAGAATGCCCTTTATATTTAAAAAGTTTATATTTACATGGAGGGCAGGTCCTCTCTGTGGAGGCCACCATGTTTTTTACTCTCGTCCAAACTGGAAAAACTAAAACCTTTTGAGTTTTCATGACAAATGAAGTTCACCACAGGTTCTCTTTCATGTTGGGAAGGGGAGGGTGAGGTGAGTATTCAGCTGCAGCATGAAACTTCACTCCGAGATATCACTAAATTCTACACACTGAACCTTTAAGTGTGCTATCCCTGATAAATAGCTTCAGGAGAAGTATTCTTTTCTCACCATCTCCATATGGGCGCACTGTTTGTGGGCAGGTGTTTGAAGAGCTTGGATCATCGTGTTTCCTCCTGGCTCAAGTGTTCATCCCTGTGCCAGAACCCTCTGTCTTAACGGGCAGCGTCCCTCTTGATGAATTTGAGTTCAGCAGCAACCAGAGAGTGATGTTTGACCATGAAGGAGTTGGAAGTGGTAAAWGTCTTCACTTGACACCAGTTCAGATAATGTATAGTCCCACCCCCAAAATGCCTTTTATTTCAGTAACACATTACTTATTGTCMGTCTGTCTGTCTTGTCAGATGTCCCCCTCTCCTTCGAGCCTGATGGCAGTAACAAACAGACCCTGCTGACCTCTGGTAAACTGTCCTGCTGTGTTTCCTGGGGTGTTGGGGATGATGATGTACCACTTGCCCCTCCTGTGTCTCAACATCCTGGTGGCATACACAGGTAATATCACTTCAAGAACACTGTTGTGGTCTTGGGGTTATGTTGGACAGTTTGGTCATTGCACACACTAACTGTGACATTCATACAATGCATCTCCCTTAAATGTGTGACACTGTGAAGTCTGGTATCTAGGGTTGGGTAGTGTTCACATTTGAATCATTTGGTACCAGTACCAGTTTCAGGCTATCAAATACTGTGCAGCTTTGACCAGGTGTCTAGTCAGGTTAGATGTGTTGCCATGCCCAGCTTTGCATTTCGTATTACAAATACTGCAGACAGCACTGTCTCTGTCAACTTTTGGAACGTGTAATCAACACAATAGTAGTGCACCACCTTCCCAGAAATGTAGCGTCTAGCTCACACGTATAAATGTGCAGGTCACTTGCTCTATCACCCAGATTATTTAACCTGCTCTCTTGCCGATTGATTTAACAAGAATCGGTGCTCAGTTGTATCAAAGTGATTCGTCTGTACCCTTTAAAGTTCTGAGCTTGGTACCCAACATTGGTGTCGCAACTGAGAAAAATTAGTAGTGGGTTCAGACAGGTCACAAAGTCATGCTCAGCCACAATCCAGTGCTTCAGCTGACAGCAGCCGCTCTGTGCCAAGCTCAGCTGATCCCCTCCGTTAGTAGTTTGAACACTTTGACTATCTGTCTCTGTTTTAGTGGCCTGGGCCGTCTCGATGCTGTCACATCTATCGGGGCATCTGGACTCTATGACATGAAAAAAATTGGGGAGTGGGCCACGCAGTCAAGATTGGACCCCAATGACCCAAAAAACGCTTCCATCATGCAGCTGCTAAAAGTGGGTGCCACAACACAGACTGTTGAAACATCTCAGTGACCCTGAAGAATTCAAGTTTCTCATTTTTGTAACTGTGATTCTATCTTTGTGTCTTTTGTTTACCAGGTGGCCAGAAGTGGAGAGGTTACAGCTCCAGAGTACTTCAGACTAGAGCAGCTGCAGGAGGAGTTTAACTTTGTGACTGATGAAGAGTTGGAGGGGTCCAAACGATTTCGCCTGCTCAGGCTCAGGAACCAAGAAGTTGCAGAGTTCCGAAATTACAAATGTGTTCCTGGTCTGGAGAGGGAGGTCTCTGATAAGGTTTTCCAGGTCAGCCTTCCAAATATTTACATGTCATAGAATGTAGGAATTTGGTAAAAGGATATATTGGCTCCATCTGAGGTAATTTTTTTCCCTGGTCAACATTATTTCAGGAGTATGAGAAGAGACTGAAGGAAGGAGAGATAATTGACACCAAAGAACATCTGGATTCACACAGAGCTCTAGTTGCCAAATACCTTCAGAAGGTGAATAAGCACATCAGATGTAAACATCTTTCTACCTCAGTATTCTGGACATGATATTTTCACATACTTTGGCATTTACCCACAGATCCGAGAATCAGTCATCAACAGATTTATTCTTGCCAAGCATCACTACCTCCTGTCTGACTTGGTGATTGAAGAGGAGATTCCAAGCATCGGGTAAATATCCCTGTGTGCATTATTAATTGACTAAATATTCTGTCTCACTTTTAAATCCCAGATTTCTGCCTTTTAACTGGGATTCATTATGCTTGTGGGATGCATGTTGATGCTTATTCCCTCTTGCCATACAAATTAAAAAGCTACAAATTGTGTGTATACTGTGGGATCAGCAGCCAAATCAACAGAGTGACGGGGCCCGTATAAATCTCATGGTGACGTATGTTTTTTGGCCTGATGCTGCTTCAGCCTCTTTGATCTTGAGTTCCACACTGCACTGATACTGTTCTGTGTAACTGTTTAAGGTGGTTCTTCAGTCTTTGATGGCGTTTGAGTAGATTGTTACATTGTTATGCATGTCAACAGTCATGCTATCGGCTGGGAGGCACATGTTATTCGTTATTGAAAGTGAATGTTAAAACTTCTTCTGTTCCAATTTTCTTCTGTTCTCTTGCTTTGCATTTTAACAGTGGTGCAGGTCCTGGGTATGCGCTTAGAGTTTCTTTTCTCCCACCCTATGTGTTTTTGTTTCTCCCTTTAGTTTGAACCCTGAGTAGCAGTACCCTAGTAACAAGTCAACTTTTACAGTAGTTACTCTGTGTTCCTTGTGTATTTATGCGTATAAATGCATAGATCATCTATGATGTGATATATATTATAAATTAATAATGTAGTCACATTATCCTTTATAATAATGTTATCATACTCTACTTTTAACTCTAATGAGTGAAGCAGTTTGGCCTTATTTGAAATGTATTCATCTTTCTTCAACTGCTATGATACAAAAGAGTTTATCTTAATGTTAATATTGCAGTAGTTCACAGTAGACAAATTCACACAACCTTACTGGTCCCATGTGTTAACAGCTCTTTCTTTGCCGTCAGAGGTCACAGGAGATAAACACACACATGACTAATGTGATTGTGAAATTACAAATACCTGGAGGGGCTAAAGTGCTGGTGGCAATAATCCCAAACTCTCAATGAAAAAGTATTAGTGATTGATAGATAAAGTCTTGTAGTCTGTCTGATGTCATTTCAAACGAATGACTGACACAAGGCGTTTCTTGTGACACTCAGGATCCTTGGAATCAATCTTTTCAAACTGGCTGAATCCAAGCGGCCACTGAAACCCCAGAGGAAAGAGAGGAAGAAGGTGACAGCTCAGAATCTGTCAGACGGAGACATCAGACTGCTGGTCAACATCATCCGGGCCTATGACATTCCTGTCCGCAGACCGCAGAGCAAGTCAGTGTTCAGCACACCCACTCGAGTTGAGAGTACTCCAGGAATGAAAGTCCTCGTTTTCTCCCCAGAAATGTCCATGAAAATCCTACTTTTGTTATGATGATTTTGCAGGATTATTAGTAGGTAATAGTGAACTTTGTTTTTTATTTTAGTAAACCAGGACAATCCCCTCAGAGTGTCATCCAGGGCAGCGACTGGCTGATCGGACAGGTATAACAATAACACACCTCAAACCTTTCTCTAGATCTGGCAGCATCTGTATGATCAAAATTATAAATGTATTTTATGTGTGTTTTTGTAATGTAGGTACAAGTGAGGCCATTTGTGGAGGTTTCCTTCCAACGCACAGTACTTCAAACCACCACGGCAGATGGACCAAACCCCTGTTGGAATGAGGAGCTGCAGCTGCCATTTAGGTGAGCAACAGTGTATTTAATGTAGGGTGGCCAGGTTTCCTGTTTTATGTGGGACTGCACAGCATTTTTATGTCTTACATATTGAGGTGATACACAACATTTTGACTCTTGTTTTAAAAAAACGTCACGATGCCTCCCACATATGCTTGACTGGTCTTTTACCTAATGGCTGTAGAGAAGACTGGCTTCTAGATGTGAAGAGACACAGTGAGACAAACAAGAAATGTTTTGTTTAAAAAGAGTCCAGATGTTTAAATTTCATGAGTTGGATTTTGAAATTTGAATTTGTAAACTGGTTTTCTTCTCTACAGTGCCCCAAATGGTGACTACAGCATTGCCAGCTTGCAGTCAGCCAAAGATGAAGTCTTCATCAACATTTTTGATGAGGTGGTTTATGAAACTGGCGTGGTTAGTAAAACACTCTGACTTTGTCTTTCTCTCATCTCACTCACAGTATTTATGAGAGCACACGTAACTGCGGTATTTCACTTTTCAGAGTGACAAAGACGGCGGGAAATCAGTTCACACCCGAGCAGAGAAGCATTGGTTAGGCTCTGTCAAGATTCCCTTCAGCACTATTTATTCTCAGTCCAGGGTGAGAGTCATTATTTTGTGTGGCTGTGTGCATGTGTGTGTGTAAAATGCCCAGGGACTGATTTTTCTTTTTTTCTCCATCTGGCAGATTGATGGAACTTTCAAGGTGAACACGCCGGCAGTGCTGCTGGGGTACAGTAAGGAGCGGAGCCATGGACCTAATGGTGGTTATGATATGCGAAGCCTGAGTGAGGGAGCATTTATCACAGTATTCATCACCATTGAACCTCAGCTGGTGCCTGGGGAGCCTATCAGGGAGAAGGTGAGTTGTGTCCAAGTCCAGACCTCAAACATGGGATTGTATCTGCTTTTTAGTTTCCAATCAGCATTGTCTGCTTGTTTTTTTAATTTTTTAATTTTAACAATGATGGTCACATCTAGTTCATTTAAAGGTCCAGTGTGTAAGATTTAGGTGAAAGGGATCTATTGGCAGAAATTTAATGTAGAATAATCCTCATGATGTTTTCACTAGTTTGTTTCATCTAAATTGTACAAATTGGATTTTTCTTTACTCCAGAAAAGGCCCTTCACATTTAAATACATTATATTTACATTGAGGGGACCCTCTCTACGGAGGCAGCCATGTTTTTTACATTTGTCCAGACTGGACATACTAAACAACTTTTGAGTTTTTATGACAATTAAAGTCTACCACGGGTTCTTTTTCATGTTTGGAAGGAGAGGGTGAGGAGAGGGGTGTTCAGCTGCAACATGTTACTTCAACACTTGATATCACTAAATTCTACACACTGTACCTTTATATAAATGTATGTATTTGACCAAATAGCTTCCATATTAAAATATACATTTTCTCTTATGTTTGCCTTTTTTGCCACTTACTTGATTTTGCCCTGCTGCATGCACTAGATAAAGGAATTGAAGGTAAAAGATCACAAGGACACTCATTAGAATCCTCTTTTTCTCCATCTATTTCACCCATTCATGACCACATCACTATTATGAGCTATTGAGTAATTCAGTTAGTTCTGACCTGTAATTACCTGCACTTAAGTTTTGACCTTGTTGTGCAGTTTGACAGCCAGGAGGAGGAGCACTTACTTCAGGCCTCAGAGAGATTTGAGAGGGATGCAGCACAGCGATATCCGGACAGACCCTGCATTACCACTGTCATAGACCTCAATGGGAAAACGGTCTTCATCACACGATATATTCGGCCTCTCAACCCCCCACAAGAGTTACTGGATGCATTCCCTAATAACTCCCAGGAAGTCACGGTCAGTGGGACTGAACTGAGTAGATAGAAATGTGCAGGTCTGAACTAGGCCAAATATCCTGTGCTTTTAAGTATTCAAATTCTGCAGCAATAATAAAAAAGAGTAACCCCGCCTGTTACCATGATAATGCCCCTAGACAATGGCCCTTGGACAAAGAAGATCTTATTTATGTGACTCCACTTACTCTGTCCCTACACAGGCCCTGGTTGCCCGGTTTGTTTCGCTCATCCCATCTCTGCCAGACAGAGTTTCCTTTTCTGGTGCCTGTGACCTGTGGAGTACCTGTGATGTGAGTGAACTGTGAGATATTGGGAATGTAAAAGGAGGTAATCGCCTGTCTTACAGTAAATTATGTTTCCTCTTCCTGTTTATAGCAATTCCTCACCCTCCTAGCAGGAGATGAAGAGGAACATGCTGTACTGTTGTGCAACTACTTTCTGTCAATGGGCAAGAAAACCTGGCTGATCATTGGCACTGCGATACCAGAGGTGGGTTACGTTTCTTTTTAAAATATGGAGATTTTTTTACCCTACATATTATAAATCTTTAAAAATCTTTGAGTCTTATTTTTCATCTGTTAATGAGATTCATAGCGCTTCCCAGATTTGGACATGTATAGAAAAATAACAGCTCATAGCTCAAATCAGCAGCTCTAAGCTCCTTTTTCATTTCTTAGGGACCTACAGCGTATGTCCTGACCTTTGAGCAGAGCCGCTACCTGATATGGAATCCCAGCAGTGGTCAGTTCTATGGCCAGTATGACACCTTTTGCCCACTGCAGACAGTTGGTTGCCTGGTCAATGCTGACAATGTGAGTGAGAGAGTCACTATATTACATTTTTCACAATGTGACACTTCGCTTTTTAATAATTTCCTTTAGTTTTGTGTGACTGATTATATGTTCTGCGACATATAGGTGTGGTTAAATGTTCAACAATACACTGCACCAATGAGGATGAGTTTCGACACCACTAAATCAAATTTGTGGAAGCCCTTTTTCTCCCGCTCATTCTCCCACCCTGGACTGTCAAGCGTACAGGTGAGTGTTCAACATGTCCGCATAGTCTCAAAGTATTTGTTTTTTGTCGTCCATGTTTCAATTAAATCAAATTGTCTTTAGCCAGAGGAGCTGATGTATCGACGCACAGACAAAGGAGCTGCAGCTGAGCTTCAGGACAGGTGAGCACAGTGAGGCAACTGATTTTTTTTTTTACTTCCAACATTTTGTTACTTTATTTTTTTAACTACATAAAATGCATCTCTGTCCACACAGAATTGAGAAGATCCTGAAGGAGAAGATCATGGAGTGGCGTCCTCGTCAACCGACCCGCTGGAACCGCTACTGCACCACCACCCTCAAACAATTCCTGCCCAAACTGGAGCTGAGCGGAGGGCGCGACGTGGCTGAGGGACACCGCCACGAGTTGCAGAGCCTGCTGGGAGACAACAGGGTAAGCCTGAAATGGGCGTTACTCTGAACTGTGTGATATAATCAGACATCAATCTATTGTCAACTGCTTTGGAAAACATATGATCTCACTCTGACAGATTCATATCATAAATTACCTCTAATACTGCATATGTTTCTTTTTAGATTTCAGGATTCCCCCTGCATCTGCCCTTCTCAGAGATTCGTCCCATCATAGAGGCAGTGTACAGCACTGGAGTTCACAATATCCAGGCATCAAATGTGGAGTTTGCCCTGGCTGTGTATGTGCACCCTTACCCTAATAATGTCCTATCTGCGTGGGTGTACCTGGCTTCACTGGTCCGCACATGAGACACCGAACTCACTGTTTATGCTGCTTTGATAGATGAATGAATTATAGTTATATATAGTAAAGCTCACTAGATATTATGTTTCCAGACCACTGTAAGATATTTTTTGTATAAAATGTTGATCAGGTAAATATAAAAAATATTTTGTCATGAGTTTAATATCTTTTTGAGTTGGATATTTATTTGCCTTCTTCCTGTTTCCACTGCAAGCTACTTGTTGGGCTGCAATTACATTTTCCGAAATTACATTATGAGCAGCTGGGAAAAAAAACAGTAGACGGACTGGTTATGTTGGCGAGAAACCAGAGAGGAAACCTATTTCAAGTACTTGATGGTGACCTGTCCACAGGGTGGATTTTTTTACAAAGGCACATTTAAAGGATTTAAATGAATTCGTGGTTTTTGCTTGCAAATGAAACATTTTGTGATGCATTTGTTTTACTTACTACAATGAAATTATGGTGGTAATTTCTATCGATCAAAATCACTGCAGTTCTTTCTGAGATTGAATATGGTACCTGCAGATGGACTCATAATACATTAATTATATAAGAAATGAAAAGAAAAGAAAATTGGCACTTTTACTTGGATTTCTGAACATTTCTTACGTTGTCTTCTTGCATTGTGGATCAGCCCATCCGTAGTGTAGGAAGGCTGTCCACATCCATTGTCTCAGACAAGGAGACCCTTCAGTAACTGCCAGCAGGCAAGTGTGGTGCTTTAGCTTCAACTTGTACCTAAGGGTAATGTGGCTACTGAAGCTCAGTGAAAACACCTCTTCAGCCTTAAGCAGGTTGGAAGCAAAAGCCAACTCGTTCATCCACAGATGGCTTAGACTTCCAGTGCCTCTAAACAACAAGACTGTATGGATGGGACACACTGCAGCTGCTCCTAAAATCAAGTACCCTTGGATATAGGCAAGAGAAGGCAAGGCTGGTGATGGAGGTGAGGGGCTCTGCTGATGTGAGGGACATGCCCTTGTGGTGACACTTACGGGGAGGAAATTGAGGTTGGAAGAGGAGGTTCAGAAAGCAAGATGTAGCACAAGGAGCTGGTGGGCACAGTCCAAACAGGATTGGATGGAGTGACCCACCGATCTTGTGGTCCAGAGCCAGCAAGAAGGTGAAGAAGGATCTTGTTATTTCCAAGGTCACACGGATGGCTCAGGAAGAGAACAGGGTCATGACTATGGCACAAGGGGAAACCAGGGTGCTGGACAACGTGGGAGAGAGCTCAACAGTACACCTGCTCAGGGCTGTGGGGCAAGGAGCTATGTTCCAACATCTACCTGTTCAAGTCTAATATACTAAATCATTACATTTATGAATTCATACAAGGACATTTAACAAATCAAAACAATCATAAAAGACACAAACTAACGGTAGATTTAAAATTTGTGTTTTTTCTTCATAAGCACGTCTTACAAAACAGCAACATTTTATCTTAATGGTATGTGTACAAAGTTTTAGTGAATAAAATGGAGGAGCCTTTTACAGTGAAGGTGTTTTCTAAACAGGTGAGTTTGAATTCAGCCGCTATCATTGGAAGAAACCGATAACAATTCATTATTTGTCAGGACATGGTCAGACCATAAACAGAGTTGAAATATTCAGTCAATTATTCAGTTATTTGTCTGACAGGAAATGAATGGCTCACTAATATATTGTATATGATGATGTTCCAATAACTTTTAAGGAAAAACTAGTTAAGGTTACTACTTTTCCAGTGTGAAGACTTTATTTTTGCAAATTAAATGTGATGTAGTCTTTTGGTTCAAGAAAACACAGATGAAGAGTTATAGACAAATTGATTAATGGGGAAAAAACAGCAGATTAACTAAGATTTATAAAAAAGGTGGCAGCCCTAACATCTGTGGAGAGGAATGATGGAAAGTACATTAAGGTATTTATGTCTGTTTCTTACAGCAGGAACCTGAGTGTATTAAAGATTCAAGCAAACATTGCATGAGGACAGAAAAAAACTATATATTTTATAAAAAATACTGACATGCAACTAGTGATTGATTTAGTTTTATTCCTTTAAAATAAAACAAATTTAACCAAACAATTATCAAAACAAGGCCCCATGTAAGGACAGTTAGCTGCTTAAGTCACAAAGCGTCACCATTCAACCATTTCTGACTCCTGTATAAATTACACTTGTAGCCACTTTTTAAAATCTCTATAAAACAATACTTGGTCACAGAGCAGTAGTTCACATTTGTAAATACACTTTACAAATCATCCATTTGACAAAACACTAAATGTTGATCCTCATGTTGTATACAACTCTAAAGAGACCACTTCAGAAGTCAGACTGAAGAAGTCAAAGTGTCTGTGATCCTACACTGAGACTGTATATATAAATAAACAGAATAGTTTGTAGAACTATTTGTGTCTGACAAATTAACTAGTCCCCAGGCAATGTTTGAGCTGGAGACTCAGGAATGTGTTTTACTGTTTGTGATGATTGAGGATCACACTGTAAGACCTGCACAATGTTATAATGTTAACAGAAACTAGTTTTAAATACGCTGAAGCTTTGGTCATGAACCTGTCATTAACATGGTACAAAATAAGTAGAAACTCTTTACAGTCATGTAAAGTAGAAAACCTCTCAATCAGTCCGTCTTTTCTCGAGCCTCCCTCTTCCTCCAGGTAATCAAAGCCTCCTGGGAGATGCGTAGTAAGACGACCCCGACACACACTGTTGTTAAACCGCAAAGCATTGCAAGGCTGTCGGTTAAAGTTAGCGCAGTCCACTCTTTGAAGAGCAGAGCAGAGGCGAGAATCACAGTGCATGTGAACGTCACGTAGTATATGGCTTCGAACACGTTGGAGCTGAAACACTCCAGGGCCTTATTGATGAAGAAGAACTGTATGAGGATGCTGACAGCCAGCGTCCCCAGCAAGCCCAGGAAGAGAGCCAGAGCTCTGCTGCTCAGAGGCCCTTCACCAAACACGTCTGGGGCCACCAGACCAAGTCCTTTGCTGCATGGAACAGTGAAGCTGCCCAGGAGGGAACATATAGCGACATACACCATGATGTTTGATGAACCGTGAGCCGGAGCGATCCACGTGATCAGAGTGATCAGGAGCAGGACCACAAGGAGGGCATACGTTACAAACACTGCGGGATGACAAAGGCGTTAAGTCATTATAATGTGTCTTCATGAGAAGTAACAAACCAGCTTGAATTGAAATGTGACCTGGATCTGAGAGCCTCTCCTCCAGCTCCAGTCTCGACGTCACAGCCTCGGATTTAGGTGCATGAATGATGAGCACGACTGAGCCACAGCAACACAAAACACAGCCAAGTTTCCCCAGGATGTTCAAATGCTCCTTCAAGATCCATGAAGCCAGCACAGCCCTGCACCACACAAACACAGCATTGTGTTACATGCACACAAAGAAACCCATGGAATCCTTTAAGCCTTTACACAGTGCAGCCATGTTCTAGTTTGACTTTGCACCCGTTGTCTTCACATTATGATGGCTCACAAACTTGGTACAACATAATGGACACAACCTGAAATTGTACTAATGATGATTCATTGTAAAATAATTTTCACAGTTTTGAGACACAGTGTTCCCTTAATTTGAGACTTTTCACTACCACCACTTTTAACATGTGGTTTGCAGCTTATCTGTGATTTATTTGAGAGAAAATCAGTTTATCAGTAAAACAAGATAAGGCCTACATATATAAGTATAAGTACATGCACTTTTACTTCCAAACTGTGTAAAGGATTAATTCCAAGCTATACAATTAATTGGTTAACATGAGCTAGATTAGAGTGTGTGGCAGAAAATGAGTAGATTAAATAATAAATTTGTTTTTTTTTAATCAATCAATTTGCAGCTTTACAAAAGGCTAAGAGTTAATCCCACTGATTTTATATATGTGTGTGTGTGTGTGTGTGTGTTTGTATCTTGACAAAAACATCGCCACACTCGCCTTGAATTGTTATTACTTGAATTACTCACTGTGGTTTGGTGAGGTTTAAGCATAGTACGGTGAAAATAAGATTTGACAAATTGTTTTTAATCCAAAAGGAAATTCTTGAGTCAGATCTGGCTCCAAGTTATAATAACAAATTACAATTAAAATGTAAAAATGATAATAGTATCAAAAAACATGAGTGGAGAAACAACATCTTAAGAGTAATAGAGTAAGAGACGACCAGTGTCTAAATATATAACAATACAACTAAAATGTCACAAATATAGAAAATAAACTTACTACAATAAGATTATTGATATAATACTATGTGATAATAATGATGATGAAGTGATACATGTAGCACACAATACTGCACATGAAATCGTACAATTTTACTGTACACTGTTCTAGTTTGTCAAAACATCACATCAACAGGAAGGTTTGATAATTCAAAGTAGGAACACATTTCTTACCCGAACAACACTCCGAGTGCTCCTAGTGGTGTGACTATCACAGCAGGGGCCGCGTTGTATGCCAGGAAATTCCCAATCTGACCAACAACCACTGATGAGGTTCATAAAAACATTGAAAACATGAATGGAAAACAAGATGAGGGGACATGGAGCACCAAACTCTGACTGAACCCACACCCACGGCCGCTAGATGGCGCCATACTCACTGGCCAGTGTTCCACTCCACCACAGCGCATCAGTGAGGTAGGAGCCCCCTACAGGAAACACAGGGAACAGTTCACTTTGATGGCCTCTACTGATCGTTTACATCATTGAATGGCTTCCAGCGCTTCTCCCGGGCTGCTCGGACTGACCCCACCTCTGGCTCACTCTACCTCTGTCCCGGGAGCGTAATATCCCCTTTCTCTGCAGCACAAAGGTCGACCCATTGATGACACTTGATGTCACAGCTATAAGTATCCCGGTAACTGGAAGAGAACTGACGCTTGGTCCCGAGTCCATGGCTGCGTCTTTATATAAGGTCTATGAAGACAGCGTCTGTCTCTCATTTGTCTTTAGCTGTTAGCTGTTAGCTTCACTGCAAAGTCCAGTGTGCACAGTCACATGTTGGTGCGCATGCGCGGTCCCTCCTGCACCAGGGGCTCAGTCCTGCTTGTTCTGCAGGTTGAGTTTACATTAAACAGGTTTCTGTGTTCAACACGTGTCCAGTGAGGCCCCCCCCCCCCCACCCTGCAATGACAGTCTGATACAAGGAAACCCACTGTGACACTCCAGAGGCTGTTCACATCACAATCAGACTGATGAAGCCATAGTACAGTACAGTTTGTTTTATTTGATGTCCATGCAGAACCCTGGTGTCAACATGTGATATATTACTTGAACACTGGGTGGAGCATGAGGTGAACTCCAAGTGAGGAGGAGGAGGAGGAGGAGGAGGCGGCCTGTGTGATCAGATGTATAATTACATTGTGTTACATTCTATTTGCTCGTAGTAACTGGACTGTGATGAATTGGAATGTGCACTGGTTCTTATGTGCTAAGGTGAACACAATAATGATGATGATGAGCAACGTTGTCAGTGTTGTGGTGTAAATAAATGGGAAGTCAAAGATACACAACACCTTAGACAGGCTTTATTTTTGGAGCCCCACAACACCAGTTCCGAAACAAGTTCTCTTTCCTACACTCCTCTCTTGGAAGACAACACAAGTTTAATGTAATGTATGTTTGTCCCCAACAATGACATTACACCTTGAACTCCCATTCAGAGTTGCAGGAGGACCACATTGACTCTGGGCTATGGTTACACATGCTATGAAGTAAAAAGGAGAGTCACCTAAATGCTGGAATTAGAGCTTTACTGCAGATTTACTGCACAAATCTTTTTTTTTTTTTATCGAGGGATTCTGTTCACAAATTCAAATGGGGAAACAGCATAAAGGCCAGAGGACCTGCATCATAAAAGACAGAACAAAGCAAATCAATAAAAACCAAACACATAAACATTTGGAGGATTGCAAATGTTATGAATATGAAAATTAATCCAACCCAAGGACTAAGTTAAAAAGACAGACAATATGTTGTCTTGCAGCTGGAGTGCTTATGAGCAAGGCATCAAACGCTCAAAGAAGTTATATTTTTCTTTATAGCCGGTTTGTAGATGGATGGACAGACAGACACATAGATACACAGACAGACAGACAGACAGACAGACAGACAGATAGATAGATAGATAGATAGATAGATAGATAGATAGATAGACAGACAGACAGATAGATAGATAGACAGAAAGACAGACAGAGAGATAGATAGACAGACAGACAGATAGATAGA